CTATACCATGGCATGTCATGATCAGTATTTAAGTGGGGACGTGGCTGAAGGAGGGGCTTTTGCTACTCAGGAGCAAGCTGAGCATCGGGTGGTGAGAACACTACATGTTGTATATACTTTTTATCAGTACTATTGATTGTTATTTTCTTCTCCCTTTGCCATTCTGTTAAACTGTTCTCATCCCAACCCACGAGTTTCTGCCTTTTTCCTTCTGATCCTCCTCCCCATCCTACTGGGGAGGGGGAAGGAGTGAGAGAGCAACTGCGTGGTTCTTCTGTTGCAAATTGAGGCAAAACCGCAACACACTGGAAGAAACAAAAATAGAACACGTTATTACTGATCTGAAAATTACTAAATTCTGACAAAATCAACACTGAAAAATAAGTGGTCTAAAAGATAACTTCATCAGACAAAAGAAAAAAGGTTATCTAAGGAAATTACTAGTTTGGAACAATTTCAACAAATTTAATCAAGGAAGAGTAAACTATGGTTTCATCACACGGTGGGGGATGTCGGGCTGTATTGTGAGGGAAAAAATGGCAAGAGTGGAGCTTAGATCAGCACCATTATAATTATTCTACATCCATATGAAACAAATAAGCAGCTAAGCCCTCATCATTAAAATGCCACACCACAGCTGGCAACCTTAGCAGAGGGCTTAAAAACTGGTGTACGTAAATATTTATTCTCTGGTAGGACACAGTATGAAAAGCCCTTTTAAATAGCCACTGTCCTTAAATGATCTGTATGCCTTCAATTCAATACCTTTTGCAAGATCACAAAAATGCAAATTATTCCCCCCATAGTTCTTGGGGATTTACTCTGCTATGTCTTTGAACTCATAGACAGATCATTTCAGGATCTAAAAGTCTGTGGGGTAGATCATGAAAAGCCAAGAAAGAAGTCCCAGGCAGTATCTTACCACCACCACCTGTAACCACTCTGTAGAGCAAGGGCAGTGGGGTTGCTGCCACTTCTCCTACCAGACGGAGCATTCATCTGGGTTTCCCTGCTGTTGCTGAGAGACCTAATTGAATGGAAACTTAAAACTCTGTCAAACCTTGGCTAACATTCAAAAGCCATAGGGCTGTCCTTAAGACCCTTTTTTATCCAATGCCTCATTTAAAGAAAAAAACCCCACCCTAAAGGAACACCCAGCCACCTCTTGTTCTTGTCACTATTTCTTCCTAATGCCTTTCTCCCAGTGTAACCTGGCCTTTAAAGTCTAGCCTGCCCTATTGTATCAAGTGTGGCTGTACCACACTCATAAACCATTTCCAGAGAGAACCAATTTCTTCACACCCATGAAGACATACCCCTGCATGAGCCTGAAAGGAGGCTTTGCCTGGAATCCCACTCCCCTCCCTTGGTTTGGGGCAGCATGAAAACTTACACCAGTCTTGGAGGAGTACAATGGCCACGGCCAGGTTCTGGCTCAATGAGTTATCATTACTGAAGCTGTTTGCTGCTGTTAAGGCAGGATTTTGGACAATATCATTCTGGTTTTCCCTTTTTCCTTCAAGACTGGTGCCTGCATTATTCGTCCAAGACACTACCTTGGAGCTTCTAACTTTTGATTGTGCAGTTCAGTCCACAAATTACTGTCAAGGATAAAATTTGATGCACAGAGTTAGAACTTGCATCTGGTCATTGTTTTACACTGCTCTGTCTTTACCCCTATTTAAGTCATCTTTGACACAAATAGTAAAAATCTGACACACTTGATGCCTTCCTGTCTGGATGTCAGGGATATCAGTACGATAGTGTGGTAGGAATGGGATCCTTTCATTTATGTTATATGCCAGCAGTCTTCTGCAAAAGGAATGCAGAAAAAGAGGGCTTGTCTTAAATCACTGGGCAACACTGCATAAAGTCAGGAATATATCCTCGATAATTAAAAAATTAAGCTAAAAGCATTTGAATGTCAGTGATCAGTAGAGGCCAAAGTGGAAAACAATTATAAAACAATATATCAAATGCTTAGTATCTTATAATATCATATAGAAAAATACAGCATTCTACAAATCTAACTTTTTACAGAGCTGTGCATAGGATGAACTTTATTCACAAGAATAGCATCACTGATGTGAATGGGACTGTCCAGTGAAGTACACACACAAGTCATTACAAATCCTTGTTGGACATGTTCCTTAGGGCATTACTTCTGGATGCTGACTTCTAAATGACAGTCACTGCACAACTGTTTTAAAAAAGGAAATATTCAGTTATAGAATCTGACATTTGAAAAATCAGAAAGCAGATGAAATAGTTACTAAATCAATAAGTTCCAAACTTGCAGAATGAAAAGTGTGAGTACTTTTTCCCCTCTATTTAATTATTTAAGTGTATAAATATTTGGCATTTTATCTGTCTGAGAAAGAGCAAAGATTCCACTTGGCTCAAATGTTATCCAGACAAATCTGACTGGCCCCAAGAAATTACTCATCAGAATGCGGGAGATGCAGATGAGTGGCAGACCGCTTATCGTGAGAAGAATTAACCCAGGCAGGTGAACTTGTACTCATGGGGTCTCATGTTCTTTTGCACCTCTCACATTTATCATTGGACACACTTTGCAATTCATGAGTAGAGATGCTCACTCCGATGTGTCAGCGAGAAAATATGCTGAAACTGGCATAAAGAAAAATAAATTCTGCATCTTATCTTGGCACGAGAGCCATCAGCTTTATGGCAATAAATTCCTACCAATGAATTGCAGCCTCAGTCTCATACATCTGATCTGCTGGGAATCTGGCACGGTATGAGGACGGTTCCCATCCAAATCCAACACCAACTCCATATTTTCTCCCAGAAAATTTGGAAGGAGCCATAGTCATGTAAACACTAGTCATCCCTCTGTGTTCTCATTTCCCTATAGGCAACACACAACTTATTTTTAAAATTACAGTCAATGAGCTGTAGATTTTACTGAACCACTAGATTAGACCCTAAGATATCCAGAAAAAAAAAAAAAAAGAGAAAAAAGTTACGTCGTGTTTTGAAAGTGTGACGGCTGCATTATAGCTTCAGCTTAGTAATTACAAAGAGTTATGTTCCATTCTGCCCCAAATCCAGGGCTCATTGTCCATTCAGGTTGCACCACTTTGACTTAGTTCTCTGCATCCATTATCTTTAATAATAAAAAGCTGACTGAAGTTAATGATTAAAGAGCAAGATGTGATTAATAATATGAATCTAATTTACGAGAAAACAAACTGGAGTATGATTTTCATGTTTCATTAAAATTATCTTAAATGTACTTTTAATGCTAATTGATCTCACAGAGGTGAGAAAATATTCTGTTCCAAAGTAATGGGAGAAAATCATTCATCTTCTTTCTGGACGGAACATTTAATATCATTCAGTATTTAGAGGGAGATAGCATCTTTAGAGTTACCACTTAAAGTGATGCTTCAATGTGAGCACGTATCTGATATCTGAAATCCGCAAGATTTCCCACTGAATAGGGAAATAATTCAACAGAAGAAGTACACACCAAAATGCCATATACAATGTTTTCTTTTCGCAAAAAGTCTTTCCTATCTTAGCAAAATTATCCAAAGCTGAAAAACAGTGTTGGTGAGTGAGAATTGAGCAGGCTTTTTCCATAAGTTTATCAAAGAAAAACACTTTTAGAATTCTGTTAATTTGCTATGAACAGGAGATTACTGACACATTTGCAAGATAAAGTTCCTTGCAGGATTTATTGAAAACAAAACAAAGCAGAAATCTATTTTTCCACTGAGTTTTTCACTTTTGCTAGTATTTCTTTTTTTCTTTTTTCTTTTTGAATTTGTCATATTTGGATATCAGATAGTCTTGCAAACCAATGCATTTAAGAATAATCAGTTGACTGGCTTCATTTTAACTTGTTGTGCTTTATGCCCAGGATTATTATTAAATGACCTTCTATTCAGTCTGTTTCTATGATCCATAAATAGAAATTGCCTAATGAGCATCTCACATACTCTATTGTAATTTTCATGTCAGTTTTTCTTATCCTATGTTTGTACAGTTCCGATAACAATACCTATTAATACATTGAAATAGCTCTTTGCCTCCTTCCTCTCAAATCACTTCCACGAATACAACCTTCTCTATTCTGGGCTGGAATCTTGTATCTTTACACTATTTGACACATGCAAAGCGACCATAATACCAACTGAAGTAGAAACTTGAGAATTTCAAGAGTTGCTCTATGAGAAATACCACAACAGCAGCAGTAATTATTGAATTTTCTGATGAAAGAGAAAAAAATTCCTCTTGCCTGGTTCTCGTATTCTACTTGAACAGGATTTACATATTTGGTCTGCAAAGCAGCAGGGACAAATACACTCCCTGATGTACTAAATCCATTTATACCTATACCAAAGAATGAAGGTAGAGAAGAATAAAAGAAGAGACACAGAGTTTGGAGAAAATAATACATATTCCATGAGAAATCAGCAGTGAGTTCTGGGGGTGGGGGTCAGGAGGGGGCGGGATGAGCATATGTGGAACCCCAGGGGTGTGTGGAATCCCTTCTAGAGGACGAATAAATATATTACTTCTGTGCAGCTAGTGTTTCTCCTACAGCAATTCCCCCATTTCCTTTGTATATAGCTTAAAGCATATGCCAGCACTTACAAAAGAAGCCTGACAAACCTGACCTTCAGCTGCTCTATCTGTTGAACTGATACAGCACAGTGCGCAGCAATGCAGTCTTCCAGACCTGGACCATCAGTTGCTAAAATCACCATCACCTAATTAAGTCTACCTGTTTATTCAGTGATCTCGGTGCATGTCCATTTGTTGCACTGTGAGGACTCAGTCATTTCATATGTCAAGGAAATGTTATATGGTGGCATTTTTGGTCAGAAGACAATAGCTGTGTTAGTGAATATTCTACTGCCACATCACCCTTACTTTCTATTTTGATTTTACACAGGCATTCATTTTTCTCACTATACACACCATCACTTTGCTGTGGTTCAAGAGAGACCCTGAAAAAGACTGCTTACCATTCTGGCATCCCAGAGAGTTAAAGTCTTGTCAGTAGAGCTGGTGAGAACAGTGTTGGAGAAAAGAAGAAACTCAATGCTATTGACTGAACCTTTATGGCCACGCTTTGTATATCTGCATCTCTCACTGCAAAACAAAACAGAAATACAGCACTTGCCATTCAGGATAATAAGAACAAGAGTCAAGTTTAGGTAAATTAGTAATGTGTTTCATGTATCCTTCCTAGCTACTCTTCAGAAAAAATGAACACTGACAGCTATACATCACACAAGCTTTACACCACAGAGAGAATAAAATAGCGAAACCAGCCAGTGTTTGCTTCCCAGTAATGAAGGCTATAGTGGGAAGGTAAAAAGAAATGGAGAAGTGTGTTTTAAAAGACTGAATTGTAAGGAGTAACAGTGAAAGCACCATTTTATGTTTGCTAGGTGCATCCTCAAAAGCTTTGTTGATATGGAAATTAAAGGGAACACGGATGAAAGGGTAGGATAGAGACAGCACCGTTTCCTCTTTAAAGATATCTTATGCCTTCTTGCTTACAAAAGGTCTGAGAAATCTATAGCACCATGCCAACATGCACCTTGAATTAAACCAGAGCGTGCTGGTAGCCTGACTTTCTTCTCAAGGTCTGTAGAAAGACTTACAGAAACTAAGTGATGTCTGGGAGTTCTTTACTGAGGGTAAAGTCTTGTCACTGTGGACATCCGAGGCCTTTTCCCTGAAGTGGTCTCTTACTATGGGTGAGCCTCACCAGTAGCCACTATAAGCTGTAAGTTCTTAAAACAGGTGTGAGGAAACAGAGATGAACCCCAAGCATTGAGGTCTTTATCATGAACTGACCACAGCTCAGATGGAATTACTCTGTGACAGGGTTCAGGAAGTTCTTTCAAGGCTGAAGACCTCCAACTATCCTGCCTTCTCCCAGATGATCAACTATGAAGTAATACCCTAGAGGCTTTTGTTTTCCTTTCTTATCTTTTTGAGTTGTTTTCTTAACTTTTTGTTTTGTTTTCTTATCTTTTAATGAGTTAATTTCTGAGAGGACACTATTGATCCTTCTCAGTTCAGGGTATGAACTTGATGCAGATAGAACACAAGATGGGAAGCTTTTCCCATTGTAAGGAAATGAGACACAACCTCTATGACACTGCTGCAGCCAATCAGTTCTCTCACAAAACAACTTGAAATTGGCTATATAGCTATGATCTTATAAAAGATTTTTGGCTTCTGGTTTGTTTTCTGCGTGCACATCAGAGAAGAACATTCCTTAAACTGGAGTCCAGAAGAAGGGAAGGAAGAGCCCAAGGATGCCTCAGCAGGACAACACAGAAGGTAACAAACAAATCTGAGATTATTCAAACTGAACAGAATGGCAAAGGCTTCACTCCTACACAAGCATGTCAAGAGGGGACACATTTGAAATGAACCAGCGTTCACCACTCATTATGGCTGTATACAAGAGTCACCCATGCTGATACAGGTTTCAGTGTATAATTTCTTTAGATATACATGAAACTTCATTAATTAAGTTTAATTAAGGTTATCGTTGAGTGACATAGGCAGACTCAGTCTATCAACACATGGCTCCGTGACTGGTGTCACC